TTTCCGAAGGCTTTATCCAGCCCTATGTGTCATTTCGCCTCTCCGATTCCAGGGAAGAATAGGCTTCTTTTCATATTTTTTCGTATTTTTAATATTTTTTTTATTCGTTGAAGTTTCTCTAGCAGTTTGATTGGTTTTGAGGGGTAGCGTCGCTAGCCTTATGCCCAACCCCCCCCCTCTTTACCCGCGCTTAGAACTGGCTGAAAAACTAGCGAAATAGTAAACTAGGCTAGTTAGTTTATTAGAAGATATCAACTCACGTTTAACCTGATGATAGTCGAAATCGACTGGTATAGTTGCGTACGCTAAGTTAGAGAGTTTGGTTGTGAAGCTTTCAATGGCTCCAAGTTAAAGTGTGCACTGAAAATGCTACCTAGGAAGACAAGGAAGCTTTTGCAATTATATCTTTCAGCTCAGAGAACAAAACTACATTGGTGTCATCCAACTAAGCTATAAATCTCCTCCATCATATGTAATTCAAAATCTAGTGTATTTTTTAACAAAATTCACCTTAATGAAACTTTACTTTAATATACCATCACACTTGATTAGTTAAACTTAAAAGTATTTAAATAAGCGGTCCTAAGACAAAGGTGTAGTGACTAGATTGTTATAAGAAGATTTCTGATATCATTCTGGCTAGTCAGACAGCACTAAGTATTTTAATCAAAGGTTTAAGACAACCTTTTCATTAGTACGGTAAAATCTTCAGTTGTGAATACTTTCTGTTGTTTCGTCCAGTTAATTAATATATATTTTGCGACGTTTAATAGAGACTTCAGATACCACTATCATTAATATGTTGCATACTTCTAGATTTGATAAACCCACTGATCAATGAGTTTTGAAACTGTGGTGAGAGCTGGCTGAGAACAAGCCAAAAGTGTAGATAACAGTTTACGTCAATGTTACGTCCCTAATCGGGGTCGCGAGAAAAACAATAAAAAATGGGATTCACAAGTATATGGCTTAACTTTCTGAGAAACTGTCACAAGCAGTACAGAATAACCTTCAGAGAGAAAACAACCAATCAGAAGATGTTACCTCTCCGCTGACAATGATGTACATAAAAATCTATAAATGTCTCTTGATTTTGTCAATAAACGATCTGTTGCCTGGCCCTTATCTGCTGTCATTACAAAACTAGACTCTTAAATATTTTTCGTTTCTGTAAATTTAAGGAAATCAAACCCAACTTTGCAGCATCAATGAAGATTTCAAAACCACAAGTGAAAAGGTAGGAGAGACTTTCATCACTCTGAAATCAGTGCAAATATCTGCTGCACTAAGCATAAAGTACGAAATCTGGATTTTCAATACAAATGGTAAGTCACTCAGTTGTTCTGTATCGGTCAGAAACTTGGCCTGAGCAACACATAAGCATTTCCAACAGGCTACTGCAAACTTTCACGAGCAACTGCCTCCAGCGGCTTCATAGTGAAGATCAGATGCCCGCTCAAAAAGGATTAACAACAAAAAACTCTTGTTAAGAACCAGTGAAGAATATATTGCTCAAAAATTTACTGAAGAACCTGGAGGTGAGTCGAACACACGCTGAAGAAATCGTTGATTAACATCATTTTCCCAGCAGATCCTCGACTGGTACCTGAATGATAAACGACGAGTTTGGTGTGCGTCCTAGTGTAACATAGAGGACATATCATGGAGTGGAGGGGACCGAGGTGAGAGTTTATAAACAACCATGGAACCAGGTAAAAAGGACACCATAGAACACGACAAAATGGAGATAAGTTGTTGAAACCCTTTGTTCCACACGGAACACAAGGGGATTATATACATGCATATATATATATATATATATATATATATATATATATATATATATATATATATATATATATGGCTGAAGATGTAAATAAACTTCTAGCTTTAGTGTCACTCAAACCAGAAGCTTGTATGTTTCTCCTTAGTTCCATTCCTAAAGAGATATTATGCTACGGCATCTACCAGATCTTAGTTTAACATAAACGCAACAATGTTTGCTTCATCTATAAGTTAAACAAAATCAATGTAATTTTCCACTCTGCTGGCTCATTTAGCAGTAAAGCTAATAGGTGACTTGAAGATAAGTGATTAGATTAACAGATTACCAGTTAACGTTTCTCATACCAGCGATATAAAGATTCTCCTTAAATTTGTAAAACAGATCATCGGACAAAAAATAGTCTTTGCGACAACTTTATAATCAGGCTTTGTTGTTATATATATCTAATTTAGGTAAATTATCAGTTTGTATATATCAACTACATAAATATTTTCTGTAACAATGAATCACTGAATCAAGTAATAACAGTCAAACAAGGCCAGGTAGGAAGGAGGTCAAGTAGAATTGAATAAACACAGACAGAAAGAAAGACTTGACCTTATTTTATTCGCGTGAAGTTCATCATGTGCCTGGAGAGAATTCATCTCCAAGTTATAATTACAATCGTTCGATTTTATTACTCTCAACATCACTTATAGGGAAATAATTTATCTTGACAGCATAATTTTATACCAAAATATCATATCATATCTGTACTTACTTCGAACCAGATTTGGAGAATTTAAACGTTGTTAACGAAGGCAGGATTTGTGTATAACCTACAGTGAACTGTTAAAAACAGTGAAGAGTGCTAATAAATACAAAAGACACATTTAAAGTACAATGGAGGAACTGGCCGCAGGTATGAGGTATCTCAGAAGACTATACCAGATAACCAATTTGCTATCGCAAAATAGATTAGAGCATCTGAAGCCAGTGAAAGATAGTGAAGAAAGCCTAATTACCAAAGAGGAAAAACAAATAAAACAATGGATTGATCATTTCAAAGGACTTTTGAATCGATAATCACCTGCAAACACAGAACTACAGGTGAAAACCAACCCTCCCCCCCCCCAACAAAAGCAGTTACTGAAAGCCAGAAAAGAAGTAGAACGAGATGGAATTTCCTCAGAAGCACTGACAAAGGACCCAGATTTGAGACGTGCTTCTGAAGTCCTGTGTTCTACTTGGAATTCAAAGAATGAATAATGAATGATTCGATGACCCCTTACTACAAAAGCTTTTATATAACCGATAGACACAAGCTTATTATTTACTTAATTTAGATATATAGCTGTAAAACCTGAGGAGGACGTTTTTGAAAACGGTATTATTTGCCTAACCATCTTTTTTCTCAATATTGTGTCGTATGTTATTATTTACTCTAAAATAAAATAAAATATCCTTCTTCATAGAATACATTTTCTCTTCATTTTAACTATTTATTAGTAATATATGTGTATTTCGTGTTCTCAATGGACATAACAGTAACTGATACAGACAGAATCTGGACAGTGAGATATAGACACTGTGTAGTCCTGAACAATAAACCTGTACAGCTTTTTATTTAATTCAACTTTAAATTTTACGGTCGATTGATTGAACCGAAGTGCTCTATCTCAGGCTGACATGTCGGCTTCTTATGCAGATACTTTGAAGATGTCTGGGTATGTAATTAGAAGTTAATTGATGGATGGTGACTAGCAGTGGAATCCAGGATGTGCATTTCATCCTATTTGGAACTCGTCATCCGGATGTACCTGCACTCGGTCCAATCAACCGATGGGGAAATCTAAAAATGATTTCAATAATTAATACGACCCGTTGCACAAGAGGTGGCTCTCACGGCCCAAGTGGCCTAGTGGATAACACTTTGGCGTTTGAAGCTATAAGCACTGGGTTAGAGCCTCAATGGGGACATCAGCACTCACTGCGGAGTACAGTTTTTGCCAAATGTCACAAATGGGACACATTGCACATAACTTTTGTTGAGTCAGCTTCTTTGTCAAATATATATATATATATATATATATATATATATAACTATCGCGCTCGAATGAAAATATTGTCGTGCTGTCCATCCCTTCATCTTCTCACTGGTTTATATTGTCTACCCGTTCGGCCAGTCTGCGGTATTTATTCTCTGAAACCTACAGGAACATCTCACTCTTGTTCAAAGACTCTTCAACAACCGGTAAACAACTTCCACCAGCGAGCACAACCCAGTAGTGAATCGTATCTGCGGACTATATGATTAATTTGTAGAAGTGGACTACAACCGTATTTTCAAGTAGCCGTTAACTTTATAACTCTTTTGTCCCTGTACCCATGATATACTGTCTCAATATTTTTGATGATTCAAATTTTATTCTGATACTTCGTACACTTATCGAGCTCATTGCTAGGTCTCCTAAAACACCTTAGCTAGAATTGCATGAAAACAGCACTGAATTCAATTTACCCCTGAAGCAAAATGGTATCATACTTCGATTGGACACCAAGTAGTAACTAATACCATGCGAATAGTCCTTTGTTTGCTGAAGACTGAATTCTATCAGTCAAGTTTGCAATGTGGCCACCAGGCTAGTTGACTCACCATCACAATACACTCTGAATTGTTATTGTTAGATGGTTGGAGGCAAATGACAAGAAGCCTTCGATCTAGGTTTTGTGCTTATTGGCACTACCTGCAACCTTGAAGGAATCGATCTCCCCTCTGAAATCCAAACTTCTGAAATTACACATGACATTAATTACTATTTAGTGTCTAATCAAAACACCCATTACAGACCTACAGAAGGTCAATCGCTAGCCCATGGTAACATCTCCGGCTGCAGCAGTGACTGACTCGCGTTCCACCTCCTTCAAGATTTCAGACTTGACTACCACTTCTGACTAGTGCCAACTAACATGAAACCTAGGTCCAAGTCCCCCTGTCAATTCCTTCCAACTGTCTAAAAACAAAGTGACACCATAAAGACTGAACAACGCATTCAATTCAGCAATAGATTCCCCTCAACAATTAAACTGTAAGTACTTATTAAAATAAAACAAGTTGTTAAGAAAGTGTAATCAGACAGACAAGAATTTAATGCATGAAATAATGAATTTTTATTTCAGTAACTAAAAATAAATTATTCTATAAAGAATAATAATTAGAAATAATGAACGATTATGTATCAAAGTACATACAGCTTGAAAATAATACTCAAGGAAGAGATTGTCTTCAGTAGTTCTTCAAATGATCAACTTAAATAAGTGTGAAAAGAAGTTTTCATATCAACAGGCAGGATTGTAACATTTAACATTCAGCTTAAATATCCACTGTAGCATCTTGATATTGTTGATATTCACTGATTAAATCGACTACATTGGATTCAGTTGACTGAAACTCTGCTTCATCCATACCCTCACCACTGTACCAATGCATAAATGCCTTACGTTTATACATAGCTGAAAATGCCAACTGTATACGTTTGAATACAGTTTGTATAGCTGTTGTATTCGCTAAGAATGTTGAACACATTTTCATTCCACGCATTGGTATATCACAACATGCATTTTGTATATTATTTGGTATCCATTCTACAAAATACGCTGAATTTTTATCCTGTATATTAAGCATACTTTCTTCAACTTCAGCTATACTTAAACGTCCACGAAATACAGAGGCACAAGTTAAAAATTTCCCATGTCTAGGATCACAATATGCCATTAAATGCTTGGAATCAAACATTTGTTGTACTAAATTAGGCACTGTAATTGCTTTATACGGTTGATTACTACGACTTGCTAATGGTACAAAACATGGTGCAAAAAAATGCAATCTTGGATAAGGTACCATGTTAACAGCTAGTTTTCTTAAATCTGAATTTAATTGTCCAGGAAAACGGAAACAAGTTGTCATACCACCAACACATGTTGACATTAAATGATTGATATCACCAAATGATGCGGAGATATTTAATACATTTGTGCATATACTGTGCAAAGCTTCATTGTCTAATACAAGTGTTTCATCACTTAATTCTAAGAGGACATCTATTGTAAATATTGCATTATACGGTTCAACAACAACATCAGAAACCTAGTTCATATAGTCAATAAAAAAAACATGTAGAAAATAGAGGATAAATGAAAAAGCTTTCTATGGATATTTGTATAACCACGATAAATCAAAATACTTACTCATTGTTTTATGCAATGTTGTTCTTGCTACTTCAAGAGAAATATGTTTTCCTCATAGATACTATGATATTGGAATTAAATCAGAAATTCAAGTATCTTGGACTTATTCTCTCTTCTGATCTCTCCTGGTCTTCCCATACCTTAGCGATCTCCAGTAAAATATTCCACCTGACATTTTACATTAAGAAGTTAAGGCACTCAAGCATGACTCAACCCCTCCTCTTACAGTTCATAAACTCCTGCATCCTACCTATTCTTCTTTATTGCTCACCCTTATTCTTTCCTGGTTTGCTTAAAAAGGACTATGTCACAATTCGTAGAATGCCGAAGACGGTCAGTAGGGTGAGTGGTGTCCCAATGGACCACATAGTTAACGTCGTTATCGATTGGCAATTGACTTAGTGCAATAAATTTGCTAAAGGGATTTTGTCTGACTTGGAGCATCCACCTTACCCTCAGCTTTCACCTTGCATCTCCGCCTCAGGTAGAACAAGAAGTAACTTCACAAAACTGTATGCTCGCACGTCTAAGTATAAAAATTCTATGATACCATACTTGGCACGTATTTCATGTGATGAAAATAGTGTCAAGCAAGAATTAACTAACCTTTTTTCATCTAGTAAAAAAACAATTTCCTCCATCCATCCATCCTTATATACCTTCAAGTTTTACTTTTATTATTTCTATTATATTTATGGTCCTGTTACTTCTCTGTTTTTTTACTCTCATAACTGCACACACCAGCTTATCTCCATGACGGCTGTAATCTTTGTTTTTCCCTTCACTATATCATGTAAAGAAACTATTATATTCAATATTTTTAAACATGTTAGGATTTCTATACCACATTGCCAATACTGTGTGACACAAGCCAACGGTAATTTTCACTTGTATTATGATTATTATTACCTTAGCTCTTATCACTATTATTATTTCCATTTTATATGCTGCATGTTTTTACATTACCTCTATTGTAAATGTGGAAAATTTTCTGTGTGAATAATTTTTATTTATAATTTGAGGAAATTAGATGCAATATTGTGATTTATGCTGAAAATTCCATTCTGTATCACAAGTACTGTTTTTGGAATAAAGTAAATCATTATAATTATTCATTAGAATAATTGGATGAGACACTTAAAAATATTTGCTTTCTGGTTTAGTATTAAACCAGTTATATTTACTGAGATTATGCGATTCGTAAGGATTTGGATTAATTTAAATTCTAGTTAGAGAGGTTACTGGAAACCAGGAGATAGTGAAAAGCTGTCTCATTCAATTTTCGGGACTCTTCGTCAGTGCACCACGAGCTCTCCTAAAGTTCTAACTTGAATTCGTGACCAATGGAGTGCACCATGTAAAGGTAAAATGGATACTCAACAAAGGCATTAGTGAGGTTTGAGCTTCACAAAGAGTCGATAGATTTAGAATTTACGGGTCATTGAAACTCCGCCCAAGTAGCTGAATCGTTAACAACATCGGTGACTTAACCTGAAGGTACGGCGTTCGATATCTGGTGGTGTTGTGGATGCTGGTTGTAGAAGAGTCCCGAAAATAGGAAGAAACAGCTGTCCACCAACTCCTGGTCATTAATAATCTCTTTAAATGATGTTGGTTCATGACGAAATGTAACAACAGAAATTAACTTATATCTACGGTAGAGTAGCTGAAGCATTCACCGAATAAGATTTTGGTTAAAAATCCAGTTTCCCTTTTGTCTACTGTTGGGATTCTGAGTTACAAGTAAAGTTCTGGATAATGAAGGCAAATAAGTCAATGACTTTTTGAGTACTTCTCAATTATGTTAGTTAAAGCATATATTATGCAATCCGAGAAAATACTCTCTTCAACCAGTGCTGTTAGCTGACGTCGAATTAAGTTGGAAACAACTTAAAGTTAGCCACACTACTTCATCGGATCACTATATATATACGTATATATATATATATATATATATATATATATATATATATATATATATATATATATATATATATATATATATATACCCATGAGTAGAAGTACAGCTTGCAGACGTAAGCAATCACTGGCTGATGATTCTGCGTAACGTGGCTCAAAGCTGAGTACGTCAAAGTAGATTTATTCGCACATTAGTATTTATCGAAGCATTCTTATTAATCTATACATAGATTATCTCCTTAATCTCATACTTTTGTATTGGTTTCAAGTGTGGAATTTTAAAATGATTCAATTTTATGTCATTTCCCATATTTCTCTTTGTGTTTATCCATTGTTTACGGATGTTTTAACAACTTGCGGTATATTTTCAAGTGTTGGTTATGTAGGCATTTTGTTTGATTGGATGGAGGATTTCATCATGAACTAACATCAGTTAGAGAACCGGCGGAAAACCTGCAGGGAGTACTGGACATCCTTTTCATCCTCACTTGACACTCTTCATCAGTACGGGCCCACATTGCGGGGTTCAAACCCAGCACCTTCTGGTTACAAGGTGAGCTCATAGACCATTAAGCTACTGGGACCCGATCCATTACCCAGCCCATGAATTCTAACTTCTGCCAATTCATGACATAGCGCGACCACTTCTCAATGTCTTCTTCTTCGATGAGTTACTGCCTCACCTTCAACATGCTACACCCTACTGGTCACGGCTTCCCACTAGAACCCCAAGTTAACTGCCTGAATATAGCCAGTCGCTAATGAGTATCAGATCAGTTTTCAGGTATTGATACAATTAGATCTTTTATTAAGTGTTTCTCAAAACCTAAGTTAAATATTAGTAGGTCATTATTATAACACTTTAACAAACCCAGAATTCAGAGGTGGTTGTGTTCAAGTCCACAAATCTCAAATAATTGCCGTAAAAAGAATAGCTCTACGCTGACAATATTCAGCTCTTTAAGAATAACCACAATCACACTGGATTCCCAAGTTCTATTTAAAAAAATATACAGAATCAATTGCACAAAATTTGAAATCTTAAGACACATCATTTTGTGAATTTAAACAGAATTCCTATCAGCACAGCATTATAATGTGCAAGTAATTAACAGGTAGGTATAAACGAATCAACAACAAGCTGAATAAATAAGCTGTCAGTTACCATGATTTTTTCTCAAATCTTGAAGGTCCATCCAGATAATACAGAAGATTTTAAAATGCGAACATCATCGTGAATTAATGATGAAAACCCAAAGGAACTTTTGATAACAGACAGCACAACTATCGAACCAGTAATCTCAGATAAATTGGATAGTGAAACTAATACAGCTCATCAAGAGAAGACAGACGACAACTTATCTAGTGATTCCAAAAGGAGATAGACAGTCATTGTCAACATGCCACCTAACACTGTTGACTTCAATATAAGAAAATAAGTCAATTCAAGTATAGACTCCAAAATCAAAATGCAAAGAAACTCATCAAACATAATGTGAATAAGATCAAATGACCTCCTATAAAAGTAGATGTCAAAAGTCCCTTAATCGAAACATTTTTTTGGTCTTACAGCTCACTAACACTTCAGTATTATAAATTAATTAGTGATTCCAAGACAGACACAATTATTAAATGTGTTGCAGCTATAAATATTTGTCAACACATATAAAGTGAACTCAAATTTGATCGCTTATGTAGCACACCACTGAGAACCTTAAAGTTGTCTATGGCGTTCAATCTTCTTGGTTTTGGGATTTATTTACTTTGAATACCGTCAAAAGTCTTTCCGTCATAAAAAAGTAAAGAAATGATGTCAGAAATATAAACAAAAGCAACACTAAGAGGAATAAAGTTTCTGTAGCAATTTGGCTAAGATTTCATCATCAACCTTATTCAACAGCTGTACGACAACAACACACGTCAAGTGATCCACAACGGAAAACTCAGCGAGGCGTTCGGAGTAAACACAGGAGTCAGACAAGGGTGATTATTATCACCAATCATATTCCCAATTGTGGTCGACTGACTGGATTATGCATCAGACAGTGGGAAACGAGAAACGGGACAGGGATATTATGGATCAACGTGGAGAACCTAGAAGACCTGGATTTCGCGCGTGGATGATTTATGTTTGATGTCACACAAAATCGAAAACTTACAAGCGAAAACTGACAAACTGGTCGAAGAAGCAGCCGGCGAAGACACGACTCCAGGTTAACATACACAAGATGTAGGTTATGAAAATAACCAACCAACCAACAACAACAACAACAGCAGCAACATCCAGCGCCAATCGCCATCAAAGGGAGGAATTTGAAAGGGGTTAGTTACTTCATTCACCTATCTAGGGAGCATTGTCCCAACCACAGGCAGTCAGAACGGACGGGGATGTCAAATCGAGCAAGAATCAGGAAGGTAGGCGAGAAACACATTCATCAACCTTCCTGAAACCAATCTGGAAATCTCCGTCACTCAGCACCAACAACAAAATCCGGTCGGGTTTTCAATACAAACAACGTCAAGTCAGTCAGTTCTTCTATACGGATCAGAAACTTGGCGGGCTGGTCACAAAGAATATTTCCAACAGCCTGTTCCAGTCCTTCATCAACAACTGTCTTCGCTGGCTCTATACTGAAGATCAGATGGCCGGACAGGAAAGAATCACCAACAAGAAACTATGGGAGCAAATAAACAAAACAAGAACCAGTCTCCAACCAACAAATATACAGGAGAAAGTGGAGATGGATGGATTGGACACTCGCTCGCTGAGGAGGCCGCCACTGGGTGACATCGCGCACGCGTCAGGCCATTGCTCGAGTGGAACCAGGCCGAAAGGGAAGCGGCGAGTGGGACGTCAGTGCAAGGGTGACATGGAGGAGATCGTGTGAAGAGAGAGGAGTTGAAAGAGTATGAACTAACATGGATGCAGGGAAGAGTACAGCAGCAGAAGACAGAAGCACGTGGAGACGTGCATTTGAAGCTCTATGTTCCACTAGGGGCTCTAGGGAACAATAATAATAAGAGGAATAAAACAGAAGTGAAGTGAAATAATGGAGCAAATACACGGATACTGAGACATAAGTCTAAATATTCATGTGTTAAACTGTCTATTTCTTCAGTTCACAGACTGCACTAGACGAATATATCCTTGGCCAGAATAGCTGAAATTAACAGTCAGTAACTTTCTTTGTTAGTGCTTCTTTTCAACACGATCAGCCCAATTCAGTTTCAATTAAGTTTAACTCAAACCATAGAGCCTAAGTTTACATTTTCGGATATTTAAATAGTCTCAATTGATAATGTTTACTGACTTCATTGGGTGAATTTAACCTTGCTAGTTGAAACTTCACACTAAACTGTGAATTAAACATTCTGAACACATTGTGGGGGTGTGAAACAGATAATATGTTCCAACGGAATATCATTCTCACAGTAAGAATCATTGTATGTGTTGGTGCTAACGTCAGAATACTATTCCCACAGTCCAATACTGAATTAGCCACAGAATACCATACATGTATTTGAATATTCTATTTCATGTCGTTTAACGTAAACAAAAATCACACGCTCAGTAATCGGTTGCTGAATATATATATATATTGCCTTGTAGATGACTTTAAAGGCTGAGGCTTTAAAGGCAAAAAACAAATTACCCAAATCACTACGTACCCGACTCATCTGTATTTCTGAAGCTTTGGCTATCGAAACAGAAAAGCCAGATCTCTGCGTTCCCCTCCAACTTTCATGGTCTTAATCCCTCCATGCTAAAGTATGATAATCCCTAATCATATTTTAGCTCTACCAAGTTTTCATTTTTTCATTTTGTCTATTCAGTTTGTATACTCTTCATTATTACGTCAATTGTTACTATTACTACTCTCATTTTGAACTGTCCCGGTATTATTTCACTCGTTCCACTTGTTATTCTAAATCAATCATGTTTTCCAATGTTAAATTCTATGTTATCAAATTTCACACAATATTGCGTAACATTGTTATTTTATTCGATTTGTCTACTAATCCTATAATTACACACCCTTTTTCAAATTCTATCCATCCTATGTATTATTCTATATATGACATTAATTTGCTTTGCCACTTGACATTTAACTACGATTATAATCACAAACATTTTAGTTTTAATTGTATTTCATACTACTATTATTATTATTATTATTTTATGCATTCACACCTATGATTCAAGTCCCTCACCGGATATAACTTCTTAAAAACCATATATATACGATTGTACAGCTTGATGATAAATTCGTTGAAAAGAGTTTCTTCGCTGAATCACTTGGTTTGATTTTCCAAAAAATACATTGACAGACACTCTAATTTATTATCCTTACCTTTGGTGATGGAAATATTGAAAATGTATTGATAATTCTATCTGGCCAACTTTCTTTCAGCTGTTCAAGGAGTAAACATGTCATCCCTGAACCACAACCACCACCAAGTGCATGAATAATTTGAAATCCTTGGATTAAATCACAACTTTCAGTTTCTTTGCGTATGACATCCATTACAGAATCGCATAACTCAGCACCATCTGTATACCTTCCACGTGCCCAGTTATTACCTGTACCAGCTCTACCGATAATGTAATTTTCTGGACGAAATAACTGACCCGTCATACTTCCACGTACTGATTCCATTGTATGTGGATCTAAATCGATTAGTACACATCTAGGTACAAAGCGTCCACCTAATGATTAGAATAAACATACAGTATTGTAGTATTGTATATTATAAATGAGTATTTAGGTACAAATTACGTTGACGAGTAAGTTTCCACAAAGAAAGGCAAGGGTAAATTTAGTGACACGCGATTACCTTTCCTGGCACAATGAATGAGTTTCATCTCTCAAGTATCCTAATACATGCAGCTTATACTGTTATTCTATTTCCATTTTATGGGAAAACAAATTATATAGTCTTCTGAAAATCGACCTACCCATGATGAGTTCCCCTCCTGTGTTGTCTGGTCCCAGTTTGGCGTTCATGTCTCCCATTAGTATCTTAATGTCACCAGCTGGAGTATTGTCAATTGCTGCCTGTAATTGTCTGTAGAATTCTTCTTTCTTTTCGAGGTCTGCGTTGTTTGTGGGTGCATAACATTGTATAATTGACACTTTCCTTCCTTTGGAGTTGAATCTGGCGGTCATTACCCTGGACGAGATCGCCTCCCATTGCATCAGGGCCTTTGTTACCGTTGGTGACATCATGATAGCAACACCCTCGGTGTGCGTGTGGTTATCATCTGGGTGACCGTAGTAGATCACTAACTCACCCGTTGGCAATTTGGTGAGTCCATTCCCATTCCATCTGCTTTCACATATTCCCAGCACTTGGATTCCTTATCTTTTCATCTCGTTTGCGATCTGGGCAGCTTTGCCAATCTCATACATGGTGCGGACATTCCATGTCCCCACACAGACTTTTTCTTTTGGTGCAAAGAAATTTATCGTGCTGAAGTTTCTGTAGCAACTTCGTTTTCAGAGTGGGGTTGCTACCTTCACGCCTGAGAAATGAATTGTTACATTAAGATAAAGTTTAGAGAGAAGAGACCTTGTGGGTTGCTCCCCTTAAAATTGACCTACATTCTCATTGTGTTTGGTATACACGATACTACAGAACTCATCTACACAGACTCCAAGTTTGAGGATAAAAGTGAACTGACTATTTGAATTGACACTTTGACCTACTTGGGAGGATATAAAATCCCTAAGTGAACTGACAGATGACAAACTTTTGGCACGATGACTCGTTTAACATTTACCATCTAGCATCACCTCTGGAGCAGGAATGATATTCACCGCTGATCAGTGTGTGAGTATACAGAAGTCCGCCTTATACTAACTTGTATTCATGATACAAGGCCACTGACAATATAAATCAATGAAAGATTAACGGATCTTGACCTCATGTAATTGAGTCCTAATGCTCAGGTTAGGTGGAGCAGCTAATGCATAATTTTGAGAATATTAAAATGTTAAATAAGGGTTTAAGTCTGTCTATAAGGTTGTAAAGATCCATCGAGTGAGGTGGCTCGAATGCGTGACACCCAGCAAACCACTGCCTTCTTCTAAGCAAAATGCTATCTGAAACCGTATCAAGCTGAGAAAACTTATGATATGAGCCATACAGATAATTGTTGGTTGCTTGGCTGGAGCCCATAGAACGTTAATAACAACAGGTTGAAGGCTTTTGTGGCACAATCTTAAATTGTAGCTACTGGCGTCAACATACTGACTCTTTCTGACTTTCTAGATTCTGAACATCTTCTTTAATATTTATACACCTAATCCCTTCACTATATCCATTTTTCCCTTTTGTCGTGTTATTCGGTTTCTTTTTCCTTTTTCCCAGTGATTTTCAAAGTACAGAAACTCTGTGCAAAGTTGTATATTGATTGATTCACCAGTGAGTTAGTGTTCACATTTCACTAAATAAATGAACAGTGCACAAACGATTACCGCAACTAAATAATATTTTCAAGGCTAAAAACCGAATTTCTCTTATTTATATTCAACAACATACTACTGATAGATTGATATTAGTAACTGGATACTACTCAAATCAACCAGTAGTGCATTTTAGTTTGCTAGTTAAATAGAACACCGTGAGACCATTTCACTCATTCGCCGTCGAGTTCATCGGTGTTGTGTAGATCACCTCGCTCTGGTTAAAAAGCACTACTAGTCGACATAAGTGTGGTACACCGCCACTCAACTCGATTAATCTCTAGTATGTATATAGTTTTATACGAATATGCTTGATTGCCATTTATGTTGTCAAGCAGATCACATATTGTATGTGATCTGAATAATTTGGTTTCTAAAGAAAACTGTGGTGAAAACTTCACCCCCGGAACGGTCTACATTGGAAACTGCTAACTGATTTGTATATTGTGAATTTCATTTATGAATTTCCCCCAGCAAGTCAAACAAATATTTCAAGTTAAAACACACTAGACTGCCAGTCACTGATTATATTATTATTCCCTTGAGTTCCATGTCGAACATAGGGCTTCAATAACATATCTTCCCCTTGTTCTACGTTATGCTGTCCTCTTCAGATGGGTCCACGATTGCCCATAACATCTCATCTTCTCCTCGCACGATCTCCTCCATGTCACCTTCGCACTGACGATCCATTAGTCACTTCTAATTGGGACTCCACTCCGGTGATGGCCTGCCTTGCGCTTGATGTCATTCGACGGCCTCCTCAATGTATGCCTGGTCCATCTCCATTTTCTCCTATACATATCTGTTGAACGATCGGCCCTTGGCTGATTTGTTACCAGCCAGCCAGAGTTTCTTGTTGCTAATTCTTTCTTGCCTGCCTGCCTGCCGGCTGACCATTTGATCTTCAATATGGAGCCAGAGAAGGCAACTGTTGATAAAAGTTTGTCAAGTTTCTGACCCATAACAGAAGCACTAACTGACTTCACATTTCTGTTGGAAATTCAAATCTTGTTGTTTTTTTTATGCTGACTGCAGTGAAGAAGATTTCCAAATTGGTTTCAGGTTGATGAAGACGTATCCTGCCTTTCTGATTCTGGCCGGCCTTGACATCTTCATCCGTTCCGACTACCTGTGGTTGAAGCCAAGCTTCCTAGATAAGCGAAGGAAGTAACCTCTGAATCTGTCTGTCTGTCTGTTTTCGACATAGAACTTTGCACAAATGTGCGCCAGTTCAAGTCGCCACACTCCGTGTAGCACGCGAAGCAAGAGAAGAAAGTTCAAGAAAAGCATAATAGAAACAGTGAGCAGAGGTGTGAGACAAAGGAGTAATAAAGAAAAACAAAACGGCCTCATTGGAGATCATAAGTCACAAGGAGTGGATGCATCTTCGCCATTGAGAACGATTTTGAGCCATGTCACCAATTGTTTCCAACCATAGATTTTTACCGTCCCGAGGACCCCAGCCTCGAAGTCTACACCTTCCTACGTGGCTTAGACCAACTGTTGTGGATTTCATTGACTGGGAAGCGATGTTTTTGTTTGACCGCCGCTAGCTTTTTTCCAGCCTGACCCTATGTCAGCTAACATTGCTCGTCGAGGGAGGCGATGGCTTCGCAGACGTAACACATGTCCTAACCATCTCAGTCTTTGTAGCTTCACGGCTTCGTCGATTGATTTCCCCTGTTTACCTAGAACTCTGCGCCTAACTTCAATGTTGCTCACCTTATTATACCACTTTACACGGGAAATAGAGCGCAGGCACCTATGATCAAAGACAGCTAGTCTTTTCATGTCTTCCACTCTCAGTGGCCAGGTCTCACAGCTAGCCATAAAGGAGGACGGAGCGGACTGATGAGCAGTACACCCGCCCTTTGGTCGATAGTCGAACATCTCGTCTACGCCAGACTCAGCGTAAACTGGTAAATGCGAAACGAGCCCCCTGTATTCGTGCTGAGATTTCGTCAGAGATCAGCCCGTTGGCACTGGCTGATGGTACTTCTCAAATAAGTGAAGCGGTCAACGTGCTCTACCACTTCACTTCCTATTTTTAAACTAGGCGTCGATGTAGTCCAGTCCTGTATCATCATCACCCCTGAATAGTTAATCAGGGGACGTATTGTCTTAGTATCATAACTAATTTGTAGCTTTTTTTTATACTATAGATATGAGGAAGAAGTGATTACTTGGCTGAGAGCTTTAAAACTATAAATTGAAACAAAGAATTTCAAGGTCGCTGCACATTACGCACTTACCAGCTATCTTACAACCAAAACATTACCTTTCCCTTTAAAATCTACTAAACCAAATAAACAGAAAGAAGAGAAAACTAGACGATGTCATTATGCGACGATTACTGTGTAAACATCAAGGACTAATAGTTTGGTGTAAAACCAAAAGTACTGAGAGTAATAATAAGGAGAGCCAAAAACAGGATTGTAAAGTTCATTTCTTCGTATTGATTCATACATAAAGACTATTTATAAATAAACACTTTTACTTTACTGATTGATTGTGTAGTCAGTTAAGCGAACAGAATTTAGGTGGGTCTATTCCTGTTAACATGAACATTTCAGTCTAAACGACTTTTTCTTTCATCAATTTGCTATGACAAAAAGAAATACACTAGTAATTTAAGAAGTAAAGAAGAGTCATCAAAATGTAAACATACCCATTGCTTCATTAAAATAAACATTGATTCGTTCAAGTTGTAAATCTGATTCACCAGTGAAACGACCATTTGGATCCACGCCATGTTCATCAGATATAATTTCCCAAAACTAGGTTTTTAAATAAATATGAAACCACTATGATTCAGGCATCATTCATAAAAACCAAAAACAAACAAGGTGAAAATATTGTACATCAGTTCACAAATTTTAATTTCAATTTAATATCATCTTGAAATTAGTGTCGTTTAATGTTGCCCATGAATATATCAATATTTCCAGTAAACATATTCCCGGATTTAATACTGTTATTGTTCATCCCTTATATTCCGAGTGAAATATAGGGCTTTAGTTGCGTACCTATATGGAACTCATTTTTCTACCATCATTTTCAAATGGCTGCTCTACACATGATTCCCCCCCCCCCGTCGCCAATGTCACTCTCGACATACCTAAATCGTTGCTTCCTATTGGGCTTCGATTAGAGTCACTGGTGTGTGGTGTTATTTGAATGTTTTCTCAGAGTATGCTAGGTTCATCTTGCCTAATTTACTAGTCTATCTCAAGCTCAGAAAACAGGAAAGTTTAGGTGTGGAGATATTATCTCCAATCGCTACGGAAACTTCAAAACACAGAGAACTATCCTTGTAGTAATAATTGGAAAAAGCTACTTTAGAATTTTTAAATAACACATCATCAGACAGTGACGCCTACTTTACTCATAAAGAAAGACATCCACTAGTGAACCTTGAAGTTATAACTTACGATGATCCGTTTTATCAAATTTACATGGATCATATAATTGAAACATAAGTTTTAAAGGCATTACTAATGTAAGTGTAGAGCTCGGGCACTGAGGTAGGATGTAATTCCATATTAGATAAGTTTATTTTAAATGTCACACAGTGATGATGCAGTATAAAAACCGGATGATGTCTCGAGCATAAATTAGTGCTCATAATCATATCAACTAAGCCAGACGACTTCATGATTTGTCATACATATATTTCTCTCTCTCTCTCCCTCTTCCTGTTGTTGTTTGTTACCATTTTCCATATCTTCGGTATAGGCGTTGCGTGTGCAATGTTGACTCGACGGTAGACGAAGATTCAGTGATTAACCTCTCTGTCTTTCCACCTAACTATATTACTTTTTAATACTCTCACCCTGTCCCATCCCACCTATTGTGTCAATACATACAAGTAAATGCAGTACAATGGCCGAACTTTTTTCTAGGTTATTTAACTTAGCACTGTCAATTATTCTAGGTCTAGCTAAATTTGTATGTTCCAATAATCTAGTTGACCGTGATCTACTAGCTTCACCTATGTAATTAACATCACGCACAGTCATTACATAGTATTTGAATAATATAATACCGTTGGCTTCTTATCAGCTGTTTACAGCATAAATAAATTATTATTAAGTTCATGCACAGAAAAGTGTAAACATACCTGCAAATTTCAAATGATGTCAGTCGACAGAAAGCTCCGACCTTAGTGAACAGTACTCACAAAATGATATTTGGTAAATTATATTATTGTTCTTTATACGGCCCTTAAGCCGACAAAGTTTATCTCTGAGACAGCAGGGTAGTTTAAATGCCAACCTAATTCCAGAGTCATTGGGAATCTTATGTAAGGTATGAGCAATAATTTAACCTCGAAACGTCATCCAGTTGTTAATACTGAATCACCACTGCATGATTACTATTAAAATAAACTTATTTTAATATGAAATTAAAAGCATTGCATTTTACTTTGATAAATCGAATAAGTCACAAAACACCGGAATAACCCACCTCGGAACTCCACCTTCGAATAGTTTAGATTTTTATACAAGAACTGGAAAAATTTTCAGTAAAACCTTCGTAAACATTCTACTTCACCAAGTTTAAAATCCGAAACTCTTATTTTCTTAATTTCTTTTTTTTGTGAATTTTATCATCTACTTTGATTAAAAGCACTAATTAACAAGAATTTCTGTGAGTTAAACACAAACAGAAATCCAGTGAAAGTTATAAAAGTCTTTTGATCAAATTCAGTTTTCAATTTAACATACACCATCAAAACTAAAACTGTCCCACCTAGTTACTGTGTTTTATTGATATAAGAATAGAACTTGTGAACTGTGGTTGAGTATGTGGTGAGAGTAGCCTGCTAGCCAATTGGTTGACATTAATCCTCGTCAATGTCTAGGTCACTAATATGGGCCGTGAGAAAATATGAAGAAGGCTGATTCAACAACAAATCACAGCAAACTTAAACGTGGGCAAATATGATTCGCAGATAGATGGCTCCACTTTCCGAGAAACACGAAAACAACTAATCAGAAGACTGCGTTTGTCTACTTGACTAGACTATAATAATGTATGTGAAATTTATATAAATACGTGTTGATTTCCGTAATAAAATGATCTGTTGCCTGGCCCTTGTCTTCTGTTGCTACAAGTATAATTTCATTGTGGGTAAAATTTATTTTGATAAAGTAGTCTCACAGTGTTATGCAGTAATATTTAATGATGACGTTTCAAGTGCAATTATCAAAAGTAATCTAGGTAGGTGGAGAGAGAGAGAGGTTGATTACTGAATCCTTGTTCATCGAGTTCACACTCAGCACATACAATAGAAATGGCTCATCACTCATACCCGGAAATATGGAAAGTACTACTACCAATCAAGTCGAGCGATAAAAAATAATGGAATGATATAAACAAAGTTATAAAGTTGTGTGAGTACTTTAATATGATTATGAGCAGTAATAAACTATGCTCGAGACGTGGTCATCACTGAATATTACTGTATAACACTGTGTTTTACATCTTCAGCGTTAATATAACTATAGAAATGGGGTACTGTGGTACAGTATAATTCCATTGTGCATAAAATTTATTTTGATAAAGTCTGACAGTGTTATGCAGTAATATTTAATGATGGCCACGTTTCGAGCATAGTTTATTACTGCTCAAAATCATATTAAGGTACTCACACAACTTTATAACTTCGTTTACATAATTCAATTATTTTCCATCGCTTGATTTGATTGGTAGTAGTATTTCCCATATTTCCGGTATGAGTGATGAGTCATTTCTATTACACGTGTTGGGTGTAGACTCGATGAACAAGGATTCAGTAATCAACCTCTCTCTCCACCTACATAGATTATTTTTTAGAATCTTAACCCTCTCCCACCCTATTGTATGTTAATGCATGCAGTGCATTCTCTGAGCTTTTTTCCAAATTACTTATCTCCTCGGGGTCAACCATTCTTACCTTAGCTAAATTCATAGGTTCCCACAATCTGATTACCCCCGACTACAAGTTTGACCTATGTAGTTGACTCACCTCAGTCATTGTAAGGTATTTTGTAAACTGTATTATTTTGTTTAATTGTGTCATAAGGGTCCTTTAACCTACAGAGCTTGTCCTGCCTGAGTGATTTTGTAGGTTTAAATGCCACTCTAATTCCTGCTTTATTAAGAATCCTACGTAGGGTCTGAGATTTCCCCTTCTTATATGGTATAACTGTAGATGCCTCGTATTCTGTCTTATTAATGTTATCATTACTGGTTTCACAATTATTTTTTAAATTTGGCTTTTGACCTTTTTCGATCTTCCCAATGAGTTTTATAGGATAGTTAGTCAATTAACACCAAGGCTTCTTCTTCTCTCTGTTTCATTTCATCATTTAGGTTTTTTGGTGTACTACTTAGTTCTACTGCTTGGTTTGTTAGACACTTAACTAAACCTGCCTTAACAGTTAACGGATGAGATGAATAAAAATCTAAATATTTAAATACCCACAATGGAACAAAAAAAATTTTACTTCATAAAAAACCCACATTGATACAGTACTACTAACTTGTGATGCAACACTGATATCCGAAATGTGGAAAGTACTACTATCAATAAAATTAAAGGATAAAAAAATACTGAAAGTGTACAAACAAAATCTGATCGTTATATGATCACCTCGATATGATTGTGAGCAATAATGTGTTCACGAAACGTCATCAACAAATAACAATGTATAACTGTGTAACCTGGTAAAGTGTCTGGATCATAGAGCCATGTAAATCTGTTCAGACGACTGCCTCAATGAAGAGCTTAAGATTATTAGATAATTACTTAGAAAAAATGGTTATCCAGATAAATTCATTGAGAAAAAAATGTGAATTCACCACCTAGGAGAGTCAGTATAGCAACAGTTCCGAAAAAAACCAATGTTCATAAAACTGCAGTTCCTCGGTGACAACATCAGCCAAATAATAACACAGCACCTGAATAATGCAGTTAAAAGAGCTTATAATGCAGCAGAGGTACGTTGTCTCTTCACAACCACACCTATTCTACGTTCGAGAAATAAGGATAAACTACCTAAATTTGCCTCATCTATGTGTATCTACCAATTTGACTGCAGCTACGGAGCCAGCCTTATTGAGCGTACAATTAGGCAGGTTCATCATCGTATTTCTGAACATCATCCAACATGGTTAAGCGAGGGACAAACAATATCTATTCATAGCTCTATTTTAGCACACCTTGTAGATAGTGAGCATAAGGTTGATGTTAATACAGCATTTAAAATTACCTATCGCATTCCTACTAATCTTAATTTTGCTGTATGAGTTGGTCTTCTACATACAGCTGAAGAAATAGGAATCCATCTGAAGAAGCCAAACCTGTGTGTTCAGAAGAAATTTGTACAGCCACTTTCCTTACCTTCCTTGGCCATCGTTACATGAATGTATAAACCAGACTAATTCGTCCCCTCCCCCTAAATCTTTAAAATTATAAAAATTATATTTGTCCAAATTATTTTATTTTTTCTGACCAATTTATCTTTATTTACTTGTTATCCTTGTAAAATCAATTTATTCTAACCATTTCTACCTTTTAAATGTGTGTATTGATTTTCTTCGTTAATTATTAACCCATTGACACTTTGACACTGACTAATTATTGTTAACAAACTATGCCTTTATCAAATAAGCTATTCCATGGTGGATTCTTCAAGGTTAGCAAAGTGTTTCAAAACATAAGATATATATATTCAGTGGTAAAATGCTAGCCACCCTCTCACGTGGTCTGGGTTCGATTCTTAGCTGATGCACTTGTGAACCCCGCCTAGCCAATAGTAAACCCAGTAAAGAGGGAAGGTTGGGAATGAGGTTGGCAACCTCATCCCGTAAAATACAACGCCGCTACTGGAACACCAAAGTTCATGTCTGAAGACCTGTTTCACTAAGAACACAATGGAATGGGAAAAAGGAATCAATGAATTTACAGGTTGTAATCCTCCAGAGTAAAATTTATAAAGCAAAAAAGTGTATATAGTTTCTGAAGTAATAACTGCGTATTTAAAGAATTCGTCTTAATTTTATATAAGCTGCATATCCCTATCATTTAACTTACGGAAAACTTAAAGCTCCATTCTACTTAATTAAGTCAATAGATGACTGAATTTCACATAACCTAAAAGCTTTTTGAACAGAAACCTCCAAATGTCTTCAATATACTTACAAAATAACTTTCGGCTATTGTTTGAACAGCAGTTCAGCCGCTTACAATAATTTTATACGGAATAATTGATCGAAAAATAACCCCTTAAAACCTTTTTGATTGGGAACTAACTAGTGTCAATTGTCTAGTCCTTTGTTTACTGCAAACTGAATTCTGTCAGTCAAGTTCGCACTCTGGTCACCATGCTAGGTGACTCACTATCACTGTACACTCAGAATTTTGAGCGAGAATATTTTTGAAGAATAGGAGCTCCTCTTCCAGAACTGCTGTTATTAGATGGTTGGAGGCAATCGACCACAGGAAGCCTTGGACCTAGGTTTCGGACTGATATGTATCCACATATATATATTTGTGTGTGTGTGTGTATGTTGGTCTCTCTTTCTGTTGGCTCTCTTAGTCTGTGACCATTTCACTTGTATGAACTTGTCTCCTTAACAATGTATATTCTCCTTATATTATATATAATATAATATGAGTGTTTGTTGACAGTCCGTTGCTTAGTGACATATATCCATATATGGTGGTTGTTGACATGTATGCTATATTTTGCTATGTATATTTGGATCGATACTCCATTATGATTAGCCATCCATGTTAAGACTGTCTATTGATTTGTTCACACACATTCATATATATTTCGCTCTCACAATTTGTGTGACTTACTTACTTACACTTACTTTGGTGTGATACCACTTTTGCATTCTCCTTGTGTTTGGAAATAGAAGTATCATCGCAAACCTAGTGGTCTTCTGATTTCCGCCTTCTTGCGTCAGAACTATTAGATTCTCGACCAGTCCATAACAATAATTTAGCGACGAGTACATAACACGGACTTACTGGCACTCGTCAAGAAGGCGTATCTGCAGTCTACTAGGAACTCATGTCCCCTCTGTGATCAAAACACTTGTCACCCAGTACTGAATTCAGAGACCGTACCACCAGGCTTGCGATCAACATTCTGCAGGGCTGTATAAGATGCTTTCTCATTGGGCACTAACTAGTGTCATGCTCCTAGTCTTTTGTTTGCTACAGACTGAATTCCATTTTTCAGGTTAGCAATGACACATGGCTAGTTAGTGTCCAGTCAAAAATTATTGTATACAGTCCTACAGGAGGTCAGTCGCAATCCCAGCGGTAACGTCTCAGACTGCACCACCGGGTGATATAAGTTCGAATCACAGAAGGGACATGAATCCCTTCAAGATTGCAGATACGCCTTGCTGACTGGTGAGTGCCAACCAGCACGAAACCTGGGTCCAAGGCTTCCTATGGCCAACTGCCTTCAGCCATCTAATAAGCCATTAAAACTTCGATACAAATATTCGTACTCATCAAAGTCTGTTAAGAGATGAGAAATACTTTTAAGTCTTTATGTAAGAAAGATATTTGAATACTGTGATGACAGAATAAGAGTTACCTATACTTAGAGGTCAAAGTTACGCACAGTTTATGTGATTATCAAACTGACTAATTGACCGAGTTACAACATAGAACTTGGCACAGAAGTGCACGAGTTCAAGTTGACACACTCCATGTTGCAAAAAAAAGAAGACAAAAGAGAGAAAAAAAGAGATTCAAAAGAATGATAATGAGCAGAAATGTGAGGAGAGAGGAACATTAACATGGAAAGACAACAGGGTTTAATGGATATAGCACATCACAAAGAGTGAATGCATCTGCTGCACTGAGAATTACTTTGAGCCACATCATCATCATCAGACTCCAGACATTGATTCTTAACATCCTTAAGACCGTAACCAGGCTGCTACAGTTTCACACAAGGCTCAGTATAACTATCAGAGATTGCATCGACTACTGTCAGGTTTCAGTTTGACCACCCCTAACTCTCTTCGAACCGAATCCTTTATGAATTAATGCCACCCATCGCAGAAGGCAATGGCTCGACATAAGGAACATGTGTCCTAACTATGTCAATTGATGCACCATCACAACTTCATTGACCAACTCACCCTCGTCACTCTTTGCCTAACCAGAAATTATAAAATCCTTCTAGCATGATCATTGCAGTTAATAAAGATAACACTGTCCCCAGTAAGTTACATAAATTTAAAAAATTTCTGCAGCCCCATTTTCAACTTCATAAAATTACACTCTTATTAAAATGTCATTCTAACATTGATCTCCCTATTATATCTAAACAGACCAACTACTTGCAATAATACGTGAAATCGTACTAGTTTATCTGGCTACACATCATAGTACGACAAAATAAATTGTTACATTAAATGAGGATATTAGTGACAAAACAACAATAGGTAGAAACTCGGATCAGTAACTGATACAGTGACATTGTGGAAAAATGTAAGTTACTTTGAAATTCAACCAAAAAACATGCACTGATGTATACTTTCTTAGTTAAGACAACCTTCAACACTACTAGGAGAGTAATTAGTAATATTTAGACTGCATAACACAAAATATAACAGACTAATTTGAATACGATTTATAAAACTTGCACACACATATTTATTTGTTTTAGTTTACTTTCAAAAATCTATGCTTACTTTAGATCCACAATTATTGCCTGTTTGACCAACTTGTAAAAATACTATTTCACGCATGAGATCAGGGACAAAATAAATTCAATTCTAACAGATGTTATTTTACGTGATAAATATGTAGAATTTTTATAAATGTTAAACTAAATCCCAGATAAAGAAATAAAATCTTAGCTTTTTTTGTAGAAATATTTACCAGCTTATAGACAATAATTAGACATTTATAGAATCAATTAACTTTTTATTGATTATTGATTAGTTTAAAAGATAAGTACTATATCATTCACACACTGATAATACTAAGTAGATGAGAGTAATATTTTCACCAGAAGAATATTATAAATTTCAAGATTGTTTTTACAAAAGTTACAAATTACAGGATATGAGCTGATATCGGTTAGAGAATCATTGGAAAACCTGGCAATATTTGACATCTGTTTCGTTCTCATTTGGGACTCTTCAGAAGTACTCGCCAAACGCCAGGGCTCGAATCCAGGACCTTATGGTTACTTGGAGAGCTTGTAGACTGTCAAGCGATTGAGAATCAATCGAATGGTCAGTGCATGGATTCCAACCTTTGCCAATTCAATATTTAGCACGACCACTAGCCAACGTCATCGCTGGTTAGTATTCGTCCTCACACACGACCTTCTGTATCTTGTTGCAAGTTAGTAAACTAATGACAATTAACTGAATTGAATTTATCTGTAAAATAAAGGAAGACTTGCTAATTTCAGGTGGATATATGGATAAGTTCGTTGTTGAATGTTTTCCTACCTCTGTATTTTTCTCAACAAACTTATTGAGTATTCATAACTTTAAGACTTTAAACAGGCGTTTACGTCATAAATGCTACAAATCTTTGTTTCTTTAGAATCCCTTTACAGAATTCTACTCTTTGGTTCACATATCTCTAATTGATATGGCTTGAAAAGACTGAGAGTGTTGGAATTATACTCACACCTCATCTACATAAAATAATTATCACACTTTATATACTCCATCTTATTGTGTTTTGGCCTAAAAGCTTCGATCGCATTACTCCCAGCCCTTTATCTTCTACTGTATTACTCTGATTATTATTACCATTATTATTGTCCCCTTAGGTTCCTAGTAGAACATAGGGCTTCAACTGAACGTATCCACTTGCTTCTGTCTTCCTTCTGCTGTACTTTTCACCTGCATCCATGTTAGTCCATACTCTTTCAACTCCTCTTCACACCATCTCCTCCATGCCACCCTTGCACTGACGTCCCACTCGCCGCTTTCCTTTCGGCCCGGTTCCACTCGAGCAATGGCCTGACGCGCGCGAGATGTCACCCAGTGGCGGCCTCCTCAGCGAGCGAGTGTCCAATCCATCTCAATCCACTTTCCCTTGCATATTTGTTGCTGTTGGGCGATTGGTTCTTGTTTTGTTTGTTTGTTCCCAAAGTTTCTAGTTGGTGATTCTTCCCGGCCCGGCCATTTGATCTTCAGTATAGAGCCAGCGAAGACAGTTGTTGATGAAGGTCTGCAACAGACTGTTGGAAATATTCTTTGTGATATGTATCCACATGTGTGTTTTGTTTTTGACAGTCTACTATATTTCGCTATGTGTATATGGATCGATATTTCATTATAACTGACAATATGCTTTTGACTGCATGACCTTGTTGTCACATGACATTACAACCAATCATGTTAAGACTGGCTGTTTATTGGTTCATGTGTATTAGCCATTTTCATATATACTTTTGTATTAGACCCTTGTTCATTCTTGTACACACATTTCGTACATCTAAGTACCCTTCCACTCACACTCTTGTGTGACATTTATTTCCTTGTCTGGAAAATACAAGTATCATCGTAAACCTGATGGTCTTCTGATTTCCCTCTTTCCGCGTCAGGACTATTAACTACTCGACGAGTACATAACATAATTGGCGACGGGGAAAAATCTAATAACTCACTCAGCAGCAGTACATAACACTTTGTGACCCGCCAGGTTTCTGATCCGTATAGAAGATCTAACCTGACGTCTGTATTGAAAATCTGAATTTTGTTGTTGGTGCTGAGTGACAAAGATTTCCAGATTGGTTGTTTCAGGTTGATGAATGTGCTTCTCGTCTGCCTTCCCAATTCTCGCTCGATTTGACATCCTCGTCCGTTCCGACTGGCTGTAGTTGAGACAATGCTCCCTAGATAAGTGAGTGAAATAACCTCTTTCAAATCCCTCCCGTTGATGGTGATTGACGCTGGATGTTGCTGTTGTTGTTGTTGGTTGGTTATTTTCATAACCTCCGTCTTGTCTGTATTCACTTGGAGTCCTGTCTTCGCCAGCTGCTTCTTCAATCAGTTTGTCAGTTTTCGCTTGTAAGTTTTCGATTTCGTGTGACATCAAACATAAATCATCCACACGCAAAATCCAGGTCTTCTAGGTTCTTCACGTCGGTCCAAGATATCCCGGTCCCGTTTCTCGTTTCCCACTGTCTGATGCATAATCCAGTCCACCACGATTAGGAATATGATTGGTGATAATAATCACCCTTGTCTGACTCCTGTGTTTACTCCAAACGCCTGGCTGAGTTCTCCGTTGTGGATGACTTGACATGTGGCGTTGTAGTACAGCTGTTGAATCAGGTTGATGAATATTTGGGGTACGCCGTAGAACTCGAGTAGTTTCCAAATTACTTCGCGGTCAACGCTTTCGAAGGCCTTCTCTGATGATAATGAACAAAATTTCTTTCAAGTGACGTAATACTACACTTAACTTTTTTTGATGTGGTTGCGTTAGCTGAATTGAGATACAGTTCTATTATTTATGAGGAACTCAAATAATTCCACTTCGTATTATAGCTTACGGTGAAGATATTGCCTAGAAGGACAACGAAAGCTTCGTAATAAAATCATCCAGCTTAGACAAAACAACCACATCGAAATCTTCCACATGAGTTACAAATCTTGGCTATTATTTCAACTCTTATCATCACTGCTTTCTCAGGGTATATTACTTAGTCATCCTTTGCACTGATTGACTGGATCGTGTTTTGATTATGTAATTATCTTGTTATTCAAAAGTTGAGTTTGTGAAGATTTTATTTGTTTTAAGCTAAACGAACCATTAAAAATTATGGGACTTTGGTTGCTTGTTTCGAACCAGTCTAGGACTCTTCAATAACGATTCCTCACTGTTTACCCAGCGATTTCCAATGGTTCTCTAACATCATCTACTCGTTTATATATCTTTGATGTTTAAAGAAAACACTATGATCTCTTGATACCCAAACACTGGTTGCAGATAAATTTTACTGGGTTAACAACCTTAGCCACTTTTATTTATAACAGAGTTATTCTCTTGGTTCCCGAGTGGAATATAAGGCCTCACCATCTCACTCAGTTCCTTGTAGTCCTTCTCAGATGGCTCCGCTATTGCTCACAAGCTTCCATCTCCTCCTTAAACTATCTCCATCATATCACTGTCAACCCCAAATCGTCTCTTCCCATTGGGATTCCACTCGATGACTTGACGTGTGATGTCATTCAACGGTCTTATGGGCCTACGTCCAACCTATCTTCGTTTTCTTCGGCATATTTGTTGAGTGATATGTTCTTGGTTGGTTCTTCGCCTGCCTACCTGTATTTCTTGTTACGATTGTTTTCCGACCGACCATCTGATCTTCAGTATGGAGTGATAAAAGTCCGTAGCTTGTTGGAAATGCTTTGGGTGACATGCACACCAGTTATCCAGACCATATATAAGAAGTGACTGACCTGACATTAGTGCTGAAAATCCGGATTTCGGAGTACAGCAGATTCCTGCACTGAAAATTAATCCGATTGCTACAGAAAATTAAATTTACAGAAAAAATTAAAAAATATAATAACATTAGCTAATAACTATTAATCAATGTAGTGGACTAAAGACTGTCTGAAACCAATTTGTTTACAAGTGATCAATCTGAATATGACCTTGATTAATTTAAACAAAACGAGAAAGAATATATCTACAAAAGGAAAATAACTCATTCTTTTAGTTTTACAGCTTTTCACCAAGTATTGGTTTTTTCGGTCACAGGATTTCATCATGAGATGACACTGGAAAGCCTGGGAGTACTGCACAGCTGTCTCCTCCGTCCTAGTTTGGGACTCTTCATCAGTACGCACCCACTGGGGTTCGAACCCAAGACCTTCCGGTTACAAGGCAAGCACGTAGACCATTGAGCCACTGGGACCCGATCCATTGGCCCATGAATTCTAACTTCTGCCAATTCACGATATAGCGCAACCGCTAGCCAATGTCTTTGGCGACTATTTGTCCTCACACCTGACCTGCTGTTGGGATTTTGTCTCATCAGCTACTAACAGCCTAGAAATTGACATAATTTATCATTAATGTAAATAAATAAAATCCTTCATAAATTATTTGATATCAAAATGCATATTAGTGAAACAACAGATATGAATATGAGATAGGCAATGATTTGACAACCAGAATTATATACAAATAATACCATGGAACGTTTTTATTTTTTATTACAGCTTGATTCCACACCGTATTTTTCGGTACAGGTATGGGATTTTCAGCATGCGATATCAGTAACCCAAATTTTGTAGGCCGACCATAGATATCAGGTGTGAGTCGACAGGGGATCGAACCCCGTGCAACAACAGAAGACAAGGGCAAGGTAACAGATCGTTTATTAAGGAAATCAACACATATTTATAGATTTTCATGTACATTATTATAGATTACTGTTAGCGGACAAACACAGTCTTCTGATTGGTTGTTTCTCACGGAAAGTTGACCTTGCATCTCTTTGTGACTGTTTCTTGAATGTCATGTCATCTATATGTACCTGCCTACGCCAAGTCCGCTCTGATTGGTTGTTGAATCAGTCTTGTTCATATTTTCTCACGACCAATATTGGGGACACAAACATTGACGTAAATAATTGTCTACCAATTTGGCCGGCAGCCTGCTCTCATCACACCCGGACTATGTGCATGGTTGGTGAGCGTCCTAACCACTGTGCCACCGACGCACGAACGAAAGGGCGGATGCAGAGAGAAATGGTAAGTAAAAG